CACGGAAAGATATTCATCCTTCAAGGTTTCGAATTCAGCTTTCATACGCTGGTGTGTGAAATTTTTTACTGTTTTTCAATGTTAGAACTATTTTTGCATAGACTAAAGTACAAGGAAGTGAAAATCATTAACGGGCAATCGTTCGATGGACTGAATTGCACAAAACGCATGATCGCACCGGCAAGTCTGGTGCGCGTTGCCATTTATTTTCACTTTTAACACTGCAACCTTTGCCTCCCCCCCCCCTCGCTTCGATCTCCCAATGGCATGTGCTAGTAATATACTAGTTATTCAGCCTGTTATCGTCTCTGTAAGCAATCTACGAAAGTCAGCAGCCTTGCCAGCTGTTAGTTTCTTCTGCGTGATTGTCACGTACGGCTCCGTGAAAATTTTTGACGGGAGTATGAATAGCTCGGGGACTGGGAAACTGGGCGCTCGAAATTTTAAGGGAATGTTTCCAGCCTATGTACAACTTAAATTTATCAAATTCAGCCCCTGTTACGCGTTTTACTACCATTCGGATTAAAATGAAAGCGAGTAGAGAGGAAATTTTAATTTTTTATGTTTTTTATTCAAAACAATTGTTTTAGGAAAGTGGACGTGCTGGACGTGACGGTGATGAAGCATATTGCATAATGTATTATTGTTTAAATGATCTCTTCCGTCAAAGTACAATGGTATGTACCGAAAAAACCGGCCTACGTAACTTGTATTCCATGCTGGCATACTGCACACAGGTACAGATATGTTTTAACTGCTTATATTTGGGATTTCGTTGAAAATTTTTCTCAGCAGATGCTGAGAACGATGTTAGGCTGTAGTAGTTGTGACTCTGTTCACTCATTTTTTGTTTTTTTGGAAGGAGTAGTAATCTTTACATACGCTGGTAGAGATTTATCTGCGCTGCATTATGCATAAATTTCCGAATATCTGTGCCCCTGGTGATCAGTTTTGGATACATTTTCATGTGGTGACAAAAATTTTTCTCGCATTTTACAATGTTTTGCATGAATCTGCTGCGGAAATGTGGTGTGATGTATGACCAAAGCATTGGCGGGAGGTAAGACAGTGATCTTTATGTTTTGCTCTGTTATGATCTTTGCCATATTCAGTAGAGCTTGTGAGCAAGGGTGAGGGACAGCCAGTGCGCCTCTCCAAGTGCGCAGTGTGTGCACAGTGCCGGGCCGCTTCCGCCCAATCGATTGCTCGCCGGCCGCCGCATGCGCCGTGCTCGCGCCGCTGTTTCCTTTTACGATTGTTTTGTTATATTTTACTGGTACCGTAAGCAAATCCTTATTCACAAACTGTGATTCGGATAAACACAACATGTGACATATCGTAAATCCACAATGTTTTTTCTTTTGTTTTGACCTTGCTGTCACAAGCTGGCACAACATAGCTTGAAAATGGCAGGCTAATTTCGAGAATGCACTGGAATTAAGGCATCTTTATTCTGGGTTGAGGAAACCATCCCGACAACAATGCCTTTTTGGTTTTCATAGATTAGTTCTACCCTGTTAAGCTGATTGTAGCAAGCCAGTAATGTTAAGAATTGAAGGAGGATACGCATGGAGCGAACTGTTTATGGGTGGATGTAGAATAATAGTTATTGTGAAAAAAAAAAAACTAAGTATGTTTCGGTCCATTCAGTCATATATGTCTTAGCTCAACACCACCACTGGACCTCTTCAGTATGACGGTCGTGGTGTTCAGAGATGAGAAGAAAAAAGAAGGGATGGAAGGGAAGAAGAAGATAGGAAAGGGGAGATTTTTTACAATTATGTTAAATTTAGAATAGTTGAACAAAGTTAAAAGAGTTGTGATATTAAAAAAAAAATTTCACAAAATTTTGCATTTTTTTTGTTTTTTTTAGGTTTCGGAATGTCGGCGCGCGATCATCGCGGAACACTACAACGTAGAATGGAATTCATCAGTGTGCAATAAAATGTGTGATATCTGTTCCGAATCCGGCGACACTGTTCAGTGCTTCGATGCGACAGATTGTTGGCGTTTGATGTTGCAAATTCTGAAAGATGTTAGTATACACGACACGATACATTAATCAAACAGAGACCTACAAAAGCTGCGAGGCTGAAACTTTGGGAACTTAATCAACGTGCATGTACGGGCCCCCACTCCCTCTTGCCCACGTGATTCCTAAGTGCGGGCTCATAAAAATTTTTAACGGGCAAGTTACGAATTCGGGAACCAGAAAAGCTAGAAATTTGAAATTTTAAGAGGATGTTCCTCATCCACGTAGGACTTATTGAGTTTAATCCCAGCCCCAATTGTGCGTGGTTCCCATATTCGTGCCGGTGAAAATTTTTTACGGGTGAATTACTAACTTGGGGGCCTTAAAAGTGAGAAAGCTGGAATTTTAAGGAGATGTTCTCCGTCCCCAGTGAGTTCAAACTCGGCCCACAAGTGTGCGTAATCCATACATATGAGCCCGTAAAAATTTTTCGCAGGTAACTGGCTAACTTGAAAGCCAGAAAAGCTAGAAAGCTGAAATTTTAAGGGAATGTAGTGCGTGTGCGGATATAATGCGGAAATTGGTTCAATTCCGTCCCGGTCCATAATCATTTTTGAAAAAGGCTTGCTTTCATCGGTTGGCCCGGACAGTTTTGATTGTCATTATTTATGCCAATCATAAACAGGTCTGGTTTTTCATATGTTTCATTGAGCTGCGCTTATTCATAATTGACGGTGCTTTCGCTGTTATTTCAGGTTTCGAAGTCGGATACAAATCGTATTACGGGTATGAAATTGGCTGAATTGTCATGCAAGAAAAGTAGGATGAGCCGAGAATTAATTGAGTATGTGATTGCAAAACTCATCCTGGATGGCTATCTTAAGGTTAGTGTCGTGTGGTTAATACCATTGTTAGGTTGTAATTGAGATATTGCATATTTCATGCTTTTTGTGCTGTAGCTTCACAGAGTAGCTGGTCTGGACCGGGAGGAATTTGAACTTCACATTCTTACTATTCTTCAGATTCGTAGAAAATAATGATTAGATTTATTAGGATTAAGCAAAATTATAAGCGTTACTTAAGGAGTAGATATCGGAAAGTATGCTTTTAAAAGATTGCTTTAACTGTAAAATATATTCTTTGGAAGTATTAGAAATATATTTTACAAATGTACGAAGTACCAACTACGAAGTATGTTTGAAAATATCAAAAATTTGAAATATACAGGCCTCGTACGTTATGAAAATATGCCTGTCAAAGCAAAGGAAGGAATGTGGGGAACGAATGTGGGGAATCTGTATTTTAGTTTTGGTGGTCTGAAATCGGAAACATTTAATCTTAAAGAGGGCTTTAAGAACAAAATTTAGAGGTGTTACGGCTGCCAGATCCGGCGAAAATTTCGTGAAATTTTATTTTTTTTCTTTTAATATTGTCATTAGGCTGTATTCCAATAGCAGGAAAGGCTGGTGCTGGTGGCGATTTTAGTTTTTCCGCTTAATCTATGAAATGCCTTCATTTCTCGTAAGTGAAATACGAAATGCTTCCTCGAGCACTTTTTGCCAGCAACTTGCCCATAAAATGGCTCATCTTCGACCATAAAACCAAAGTTAGCCTCTCATTTGTGGCGGATTTGCGCTGTGATGGGAAGTCATGTGATGAAAGTATCAAAAATCACGAGTTTTTTTCAGGAGGATTTTCATTTCACGCCGTACTCAATCATCAGCTATGTTGTGCCCGGTGAAAGAAGTTCATTAGCCAGTCAGAATCCGGGCATTAAAATAACATTCCCTATTTCTTCGAAGTTGGTAACACCCAGCGGAAAAACGAAAACAACCCGTAAAAGGCCACTACTTGTTGATGATGATGATGACGATGACACTGTTGTTGATAATAGTTGTGAGCATGAAAATAGTGATGACATAATTCCTTTATGAGTTTTATTTGCTCAAATTTTTGTTTATGCCGAAGCCTCTTCGGTATTTACATTCTACGGGAGAAAGGAGAGGGGAAAAGGGGGGGGGGGGGGGGGGG